GAATCATAGAATCACTTTGGTTGGAAAAGACCTTTGAGATCATCGAGTCCAACCTTTAACCTAACCCTGCCATCCCACCACTAAACCATGTCCCTATCTTCTGTCTGGAATTCTCACATCGATGACTGCTTTCCCCTCTAGCTGGACACCCATCAGGGTGTAGTGGCTGCTTTGGAGAGGAAGCAGGGGCATTGGACAGAAAGTGGTACCACAGGTCTCTAGTATCTCAAGTGAGTAACTTGAAAACAGGGTTTGGAAGGCAGAATGCACCAGGGAATAGGTGGAAATTTGGCTCCTTGCTGCCACAGCTTTTTCCTGCCTTTTTGGTTGTGAGTTTGTCCCATATGAGCACAAGATGGAGGCTAGAAACTAAAACATCCAACTTCTGGTATGTTTCAGAAGAACTGGTTGTTGCTTTGACTCTGGACTAGCTCCGATACTCTAATCTTCTCTTGGAGTTGCTTATCATTTTGGTAGAAAAAGTGCACACAGCTGTGAGTGATTCTGGGGATGGCCCAGGCTAAAATCAAGGCATATTTCATTGCACATTTTCCCAAAAGTCATTACTTCCACTAACGGTGGCAACAGTAGATTAGGAAAGTGTTGGCATCAAATTTTGGATTTTTAATTCCCACAGGAGGAGGAAAATGGTTTCTGATCCTCTTTGTTGATATGGGGAAAAGATCCTAGAACTATAACAAGCTGCCTTCCTATCCATATTTTAGGACTTCCAGGATGTAAGTGCCCTTGGGAAAAGAACAGGATGGTACAACATGAGCCTGAACCTGCTGTGGTGTGTTCCCATTGTAATACTCAAGCTATAGTTTTCAGTTAAGAAACTAGCAATGCTAATTTAAAAAAATACATTATTCTTTTAGTAATGATCAATAATTAAATAGAATAATTATTCATTAAAAGGTTCTGATGTTGTTAGCTGCCGCCATTGCCTTCAGCATTCAAAGTGCTGAATGTATGAAGGTATCATTGGTTTTGAATGTTGGAAGACTTCAGCAAGGTTGGGAATGCTGCACAAAAATTTAGATTCCCAGCCCTGATTTTAACGTAGACTTTGCTTTTTTTTTTTTTTAGAGTAATGTTCTGCTTGATAGTATCTAGAGTAGTTTCAAATTCAAGGCCAGAAGTTACCCATAAAGCCCTACACTTTCAGTATTTTAAGGGTATAGCAGCATGCTTTTCAAGAAAAATGCTGGGTACTCATTATCACCTAAATAATGGGGGCGATTCCAAGAATCTTGGCCTGTGTTTCTCAGTCTTCAGTTAAGTACAGTGACTCCTACATCTATCTTTTCTTGGCAGCATTGTCCTTGCCACATTCCTGGAGAATGAAAAAGTGTCCATATCTGTTGTCTTGGGCCATGCTGTCCAGGAGGTCAAAATACTGAAAGAAGGGGACGATGAAATGAAGCAACGGCTTTCTGGCATATTTGCACCTGAAGAAAGTAAAGCTTACAGCCCAGAGGAACTTGAAAAGAGGAAGAACGACTTGAAGACTTGGCTAGAAACAAACCATATCCCTGTAACAGAGCAAGGTGAATCAGGAAGAACACTGTGCGTGGCAGGGGTGTTGACTATTGACCCACCGTATGGCCCAGAGGAGTGTAGCAGTTCCAATGAGATTATTCTGTCTCGGGTTCAAGGCTTGATACAGGGCTATCATGAAAAACAACAGTGATGTCTGCTGTTTAAAACAGTTCTCTTTAGGAATGGGTCTACCCATCCTATTTTAGGTATCAGTACTCACTATTTGCAAAAATGCTGGGTTTAGGTACTTGTTTGACTTTTGCACGTTAAGAAAGGGATAAAACAAGCAGTATAAACTAAAAGCACAAAGCATTTTCCATGCACTATTTTTTATTTTATTAAAAGCAAGCCACTGTATAATGATGATGTATTAAAACTAATGTATCAGTTTAATAGGGTTTTTTGTAACAGTATTGTGGAAGATGATATATGATAAATGTAAAATGTGTTTTCCTCTGCCTTTAGAATTTAATTAATCAAATTCATTATCTAGTGGTGTAGGCATGGTTATTTGAACTGCTTATCAGATTGTTTTTTTTTCCCAAGAAAGACAATTGTGATACTTGGACTTCCCAAACTAGGTGAAAAAATTATTCAGAAAGTTTTTTTTATGGTTTTTTTGTTTGTGTGGCTTTTTTTTTCCTCACAACCGTTCTCTGGTTTTAGAACATGAATTATAATGTAGATCCAAGTTTGTAAAATAATTAGGGAAAGTCAGCAGGCGAATAGCGGGTTTTAAAAACATTTCTCATGTATATTTGTTATTTTAGAGCAGCAATGATTGGAAGCCCTTTGTTCCTTAGAGGATTTCTTGCAACTCAATGAATTTGTGTTTTGTAATGCTTTGTTTCTAGCTTATGGTAACATACAATGCAAGAATCATTGTGTGATTGTTCCTGAGATTATTAGTCCAGTCAGGAGCCTTCAGACCCCTCATTTATCTCTTGGTGTATTGTGTTGTTCTGTCTTATTATGAGGTAGCACCAAACCATATGTTAGTCTGCTCAAATGCATTTGAAAAGTCTGTCTAACCCTTGTTAATAAAAGGCCCTCCTCATTTCTGCTGTGGCTTATTTAAAATTACTTTAGATTGGTCAGGTTCATGCTGATTTTTCTTAAAAATCTTCTGCACATGTGCTCCTGTGTGTGTCTCCCAGAAAAGGTTGGTAGATATCAAGGCACAAGTGGTTCAGCTGCCTGTCTGGATCAGGGGACTGACCAGGGCCTGAACTCTGGGGCACCCAAGAATCGTTGGGTTGTACTAGTATCAGGCCAAACCCCGCTCAAGAGATTTAAGAACAGTTTGAGAATGCCTTGTTACAAGGAAGGTAACACCTCCTACCCCCTCGCCAGGGAATAAGGAGCCTCGTAGGCTCCTTCACCTCCAGTCTCATCGGGGCCAGAAGCTGAGTTCCTGGTCTCACATGAGGGATGATGACTGGAAACAAGTGGTTCCCATCTCCTCTGCTCCCTCTTCGCACCACTGTGCCTTCCTCACAGCCTGGCGGTGCTACGGGCAGGAGCTCTGGCGGGGGGGGCGAGCGGCAGTTGTCCCCGAGGAGCCTCCCTGACGACA